TCAGTGACTATTCTGTTTTCAGGTAGCCTGCTTCATTCTTTTTTATATGCAACTTTTCTGACTTTCAAACTTTGCGGGATTTCAAGCTGAAAGAAGGGGTGTAAGCTTGAAGTTAGGAAGTGGTGCATATCGAATTAATTTTAAACAAGCATTGCTTTCAGACTATGAGAAAGCAACTGTTCTGAATGGATGACATTTTCAGCTGGAGTTGCCATAAAATATGAGCTCTCTTCCAGTATTCTTAACAAACCTATGAATCAGTGGTGGGTTTCAACCGGTGTTACCACCAGTTCACATCATGCACATGCTTCGCGCACGCATGCCAAACTTGAGCTCTGCGCAAGTGCAGTGTATTATGGAACAGATGAGACACGGTAATCCGCTCTGCCACGCCTTTCAGCTGGGCTAAAAACGACCAAATATAAGTATGTATAATGCAGGGGTGGGCGGGAGGGCCAGCATAACTGTCAAAGAGAACCAGTTCGCTCTCAGCTCACCATAGTCACTACCGGATTGCCCAAACCGGCCCGAACCAGTAGAAACCCACCACTGCTATGAATGCTAATTCCTATAAAGCAGAGGAAGTGAGCAACCATTTGCAGCCTAATTGGGGTGGGGTGGGGTGAGGAATTAGACAGGTATGCATAATAAGCCACACTGATATTAAAGTGACAATTTGTGTTTCATGATGTGATAGGCAAATGATGCAATTATGTACTTGTGTATGACACAACTGTTTTGATCTGCCTACCAGTCTGCTTCTATGAATCTCAAATCCTTCAGGGGAATGTATCACTAAAATGGGACTGAAATGTTCATCCTATTTTTTATAAGTTGGGAGGAATGATGATGATGATTTACAGTTGTGCTCATAGGTTTACATACCCTGGCAGAATTTATGATTTTCTGGCCATTTTTCAGAGAATATGAATGATAACACAAAAACCTTTCTTTCGCTCATGGTTAGTGTTTGGCTGAAGCCATTTATTATCAATCATCTGTGTTTACTCTTTTTCAATCATAATGACAACAGAAACTACCCAAATGACCCTGATCAAAAGTTTACATACCTTGGTGATTGTGGCCTGATAACATGCACACAGGTTGACACAAAGGGGTGTGAATGGCTATTAAAGGTAACCATCCTCACCTGTGACCTGTTTGCATGTAATTAGTATGTGTGTATGAAAGTCAATGACTTTCTGGCCTCCTGACAGACCCTTGTATCCTTCATCCAGTGCTGCACAGACGTTTCTGGATTCTGAGTCATGGGGAAAGCAAAAGAATTGTCAAAGGATCTGTGGGAAAAGGTAGTTGAACTGTATAAAACAGGAAAGGGATATAAAAAGATATCCAAGGAATTGAGAATGCCAATCAGCAGTGTTCAAACTCTAATCAAGACGTGGAAAATGAGGGGTTCTGTTGAAACCAAACCACGGTCAGGTTGACCAACTAAACTTTCAGCCACAACTGCCAGGAAAATTGTTCGGGATGCAAAGAAAAACCTACAAATAACGTCAGGTGAAATACAGGACTCTCTGAAAACATGTGGTGTGGCTGTTGCAAGATGCACAATAAGGAGGCACTGGAAGAAAGATGGGCTGCATGGTCGAGTCACCAGAAGAAAACCATTACTATACAAATGCCACAAAGTATCCCGCTTACGCTATGCCAAACAGCACAGAGGCAAGCCTCAACCTTCTGGCACAAAGTCGTTTGGAGTGATGAGACCAAAATTGAGCTTTTCAGCCACAACCATAAATGCTACATTTGGAGAGGAGTCAACAAGGCCTATGTTAAAAAGTACACCATTCCTACTGTGAAATACGGAGGTGGATCGCTGATGTTTTGGGGATGTGTTAGCTAGAAAGGCACAGGAAAATTGGTCAGAATTGATGGCACGATGAATACAGTATGTTATCGAAAGATACTGGAGGACAGTTTGCATTCATCAGTCCAGAAGCTGTGCATGGGACATGCTTGGACATTCCAACATGACAATGATCCTAAACACAAGGCCAAGTCGACCTGTCATTGGCTACAGCAGAATAAAGTTGAAGGTTTTGGAGTGGCCATCTCAGTCTCCTGATCTCAATATCATTGAGCGACTCGGGGGAGATCTCAAACGTGCAATTCATGCAAGACAGCCAAGAATTTACAGGACCTGGAGGTTTTTTTGCCAGAAAGAATGGATAGCTTTACTATCTGAGAAGATAAAGAGCCTCATCCACACATACCACAAAAGACTTCAAGCTGTCATTGACGTTAAAGGGGGCAATATACCGTATTAAGAACTGGGGTATGTAAACTTGTGATCACGGTCATTTCAGTAATTTCTGTTGTCATTATGATTGAAAAAGAGTAAACACAGTTGATTGATAATAAATGGGTTCAGCCAAACACTTACCATGAGTGAAAGAAAAGTTTTCGTGTTATCGTTCATATTCCCTGAAAAATGACCAAGAAATCATAAATTCTGCCAGGGTATGTAAACTTATGAGCACAACTGTATACCCAATAGATGGAATTACTATTTTGTTGGTGCTACCGGTAGGAGTAAGCCTCTAGTGAGTGAAGAATTTAAGATCTTTAGACTGGAGCCTGTCAGCCATCTCTACGTGTTTTTCTTGTATTGATATGACCAAATTATCAAGAGTATCCAAATTTGCATCCCCTTCTCGTCAGTATATCTTATATGTATACATTAGTCAGTGTAGGTGCCATTACAAAGCCTTGTGGGAGGCCATTGTTTAATCTTCTTATTTATGTTGTCCCCACAAAAAAGATGCCAGGCTTTGAACTACCTTGTTAGCAATGGACAATCCTGAATAGGATTTGTACCTCATATGGCATCTGCTGGGTCTATCTATATAAATGGGGTGTAGTATCCTCATCTTAGTGGGGTCCCATGTCAAACTGTAGATCACATTGTGACTGGCTGTAAGCTAAGGACATTACTACCAGTCCAGCCTCTGATTTTTTAAAATGTAAACAATGCTGCACTTCAGTGGTTAGATGGCCTAGACCTGTGATGGCGAACCTATGGCACACATGCCACAGGTGGCACGCGGAGCCATATCAGTGGGTACGTGAGCTCAGCTCCGGCATGCATGCACGTGCTGGCCAGCAAATTTTCAGGCCTTCTAGGTCCACCGGAAATCAGGAAACAGGCTGTTTCCGGCCTCCGGAGGGCCTCGGGGGGAGGGGGGTTGGGGAAGACCATTTTCACCCTCCCCAGGCTCCAAAAAGGCTCTGGAGCCTGGGGAGAGTGAAAAACGGGCCTACTGGGCCCACCGTGCCATTGCGTGCCAAAAGCTGAGGGCAGTGCGGGGGGGGTTGTGCACACATGTGCGGGTGTGTGTGCATAGAATTATGGGTGTGGGCCCTCATGCGCATGATCCCCCATGCTCCCCCTGATTTTGGCACATGATGGCAAAAAGGTTAGCCATCACTGGCCTAGACATTGGTATTTGAACATAGAACTTTTTAACATTTATATTTTGTTGGGGTTCTACTAATCTAGTTTAAATGTTAATATACAGTATATTGTTAGTTCATGTATGATATGCCATACACTAAATAAATAAATAAACCCAATAGACATGTTAAGTCTATCACTATCATTGAAATGACAAATTCCATCAGAATACCTCAAATACCCCAAATCAGCGATCAGGCTAACTTCTTGTTGGTTTTCAAGAAGATGTTAAAAATAGAACCATCCATGGAAATAATTTGACTCAGTTCATGTTATCTTCTTCTTTTTTTTAAATCCTTTACTTTTTCACTATTGTTCATTGCTTCTGAACATAAGTGTTCGGCAGATTTTTGTAAGATTTAAAAAATCTGAAAGATCTATTTAACCAAAGATGACAACATTGGAAAAGAAATAGCTATCTACTGTTGGACATCTATCTATCAAACATATCAACCTATGTTGGCTCTTGGTGCAACCCACAATCTGTTTGTAGGAAATTTGAAGAACTGTTTTCTTATCTGTCTCTTCCATAAAGGAACATAAAATTTCAAGATTACTTTTCTGTTATCTTATCAGTTGATATATTAAATCAGAAATCTGATTTGGAACTTAGAGCAATAAAACACAACCTCTTTATCAGCATTTATATCCTTTGATGAACTCCAGAACAGATGAAGCCTGTAAGAACATTGATTACATTTATCTGTAACCTTTTTCACAACTAAGTACAATTTCACGTTAGCTCTAAGCCCATTCAGGTCAATCAACTCATGTCCTGATGAAAGCTATGACGTATTATTGTTTTTAAATGTCACCATGGGAATTATATGCAATCAGTAGCCTTTAGAAAAGGTAAAAAAATGTTAATTTCAGGATTCGGCATAGAAAAGCTTTTTTCTGTATACCAAACACTGATACACGTGAGAACTGGGAAACTTTTATGTCTAGATTTTTGCGCAAAATGGATTAAAGTTGAAACATGTTCTAAATTAACAGCAAAACATTATTATTATTATTATTATTATTATTATTATTATTATTATTATTATTATTTGAATTTGTATACCGCCCTACTCCCGAAGGGCTCAAGGCGGTAAACAGCCAAATAAAATACATACAATATAAATGTTAAAAAACCATTAAAATACAATTAAATAATTGGCCCGGAAAACGAAATTTAAAACATACTTTTCGGACTGTCACTATAACAGGCATTGGTCACAAAGTTTAGCATCCTTGAGCACCTGCCTGGGCCCATTGATTTGCAAAGGCTTATGGACACACTTATTCTTTCTTTGCTGCTGCTACCTATACATCTTCTCTCTTTATTTTTGCAGAGAATAATGAGGAAGGACAAAAGAGAAGAGATGAGGAGATGCTCTAAATATATAGCGGTTATATTCCACCTCTCACATGAAAATCCAAGATATAGTTTCCTTGTGGGGAACCATGGTATTTCTTCAGCGGCTAAATTTGCCTAGATCCAATATAATTTTAATTTGTGATTTTTTTTTCCAGCCACACCTCTTTTTCTGCTAGCAACTTCACCCAAGTTCCTCTCACCTTTCCATAAGAGATTGTGCATGTCTGTGTGCATCTTGTCTGCTTTATACCCAGCTATTCTCCCATCGTATCATCTCCAGGCATAACTTGCCTGTCTGGTTTACCACATAATAGGATGGCAGGCAATATTGACTTGGGCTGTTCAATCCCCCAGAGAGAAAGAGAGGTAAGTGTAAAATGGTACCCTTTTGATTGGTGCTGTTCTTAAAACCTGGACTTTATGACTATCGTGCAGAATATTGACTGGTGCATGTGTGCAGGTTCATATTTGTCCATATTTGGATAATCTTTATGATGTAGCAAGAGTTACTGCTCCCAGGGAGCCAATTTTGTGAGCTTTCCTGCTGTGCAAGAGCCGTCTGGGATCCCTCACCCAGATTTCACAGCAAGATGGTGCACAAATGCTTGCCACTATATTGACTTTTCACTTAATTTTATACCCAACCATGGCAAAGCTGCAATTCCACGGAGAAAGACAATTGCAGAGGTTTACAGTAGTAATGCATGCTTAAGGCCGAGTAAACATTTTGGAACCATCTGATTAAAAGAGTCAAGGAGCTGATTACACTGAATATTCCAGTTTTATTTTTCCTGAGCCTTCATTACAGCTGAATCAAAGATAGTCCTGGGGAGTGATATTTATATCTACAATTGGAGCTGTGTCAAAAGGCATAACGCCACCATTCACCATAGTTATCTTATCTGTTGCCACATTTCATTTGCTAATGTCCTGAAACTTTGAGATAGCAGAGACCTTCCTTGAACATTGCACATACTTTTCATTTGATTAAATAGATACTAAAGTAACAACGCAAAGGGTGTGGATTCATTCATTGCCTTGGGGAAAAAAAGCTTTTCCTGGTGCCCTTCAAGAGATCATGAACACTGTAAATAGTTACTATTGGGTGCAGAAGTAATATCAGCAGCATATGTAGGCAGGCCCCGTGAAAAGTGCAATGGCATTGGCTCGAATAATTAAACATGAGTACCAAGAATTTGAGGGATGCGGTGGCTCAGTGGCTAAGACATTGAGCTTGTTGATCAAAAGGTCAGCAGTTCAGCGGTTCGAATACCTAGTGCCGTGTAACGGGGTGAGCTCCTATTACTTGTCCCAGTTTCTGCCAACCCAGCAGTTCGAAAGCATATAAAAAATGCAAGTAGAAAAATAGGGACCACCTTTTGTGGGAAGGTAACAGCATTCTGTGCGCCTTTGGCATTTAGTCATGCCGGCCACATGACCACGGAGACGTCTTCAGACAGTGCAGGCTCTTCGGCTTTGAAACGGAGATGAGCACCGCCCCCTAGAGTCGGGAATGACTAGCACATATGTGTGAAGGGAATCTTTACTTTTACCTTTTTACCAAGAATTTATCTCTTTGCCAAAAAAATAAATAAATGGTGATCCTTCAATTTACTTTGCAGGCTTGGATCAGCTTTGAGACCTAACATTGGATTTCCTGGTGGATTAACAATGTTGATCCAAATTATCAGCTGATAGAAAACACACCTCTTCATTAGCTTCAAAACAAGCCTGGTGTCAGCTATGGCAAATCTCATCCTTCCATTATGTCACTGGGCTATTCTTCAGGAAGGAGAACAATATATGTTGACATGGTAATATCTACAATTGTGTGAGCATTGGCAAACTGAATAACAATGCAGGAATTTTCCAAAAAAAGAGCAATTCGCAAAATTCAAGCTAGTATTAAATACGGTTATTGAATATTGAATATTCACTCATCTTAAATATACTGGTTTGTTTATCAAATGTATATCTCACAAACAGTGACACTTGGGTAGGGGGCATACAACACTGAATTAAAAACAATAAATATATAAAACAATAATGATTAAAAATATAAAAAAGCAGAAGACCCAATAGAGGATGAATAACTTTCTTGTTCTCTGCAATAAGGGAACCATGTGAAAATGTCTCCATTTTTGACCGACTAATGAGATAGCCAAGTCATGAAGAACTTCTGGAACTTTAACAGGGATAGAGCCAGTGGTGGGCTGTTGCCAGTTCGAACCGATTCGGGCAAACCGGTAGTTGCGACTTACAGGTGGGCCTGCCCATCCACCCTGGTGCTATGCCATCCTACTTAGCCGTGTTTTTAAGCTGCACACATGAGTGCAAGCTGCATGCGTGAGCAAAGGGCATGCACGGAAGCCCGCGTGCATGCGCGGAAGATGCACGCTCACATTTTTGGTGTTGGGTGAACCGGTTGTTAATTCATGTGCCACCTACCTCTGGATGGAGCCAACCTTACTTCTGGGGGAGAAGGCTCTATAAGTCAAGAGCCATGGCACAGAAGGACTACTTTAGTGACCTGCCACATTAATTCCCTAATAGAAGGGACCAGCAGGATACTTTCTCTACCAGATCTGATGGGATGGGCAGATATCATTGAGGAGAGGTTGTCCTTCACATAACCTGGAACCAAGTCATGGTGGGCATCAAAGGTTAAAGCCAGCACTTGAAATTGTACCTGGAAGCTAAGCGGCAACCAATGCAGCTCACGGAGTACAGGTGGTAATGTCCTGCTTGAGAGATACATATAACTGCCTGTGCTGCTGCATCCTGTACCAGTTGAGGGTTCCAGATACTCTTCAAGGGAAAGCCCCATTTAGAGTTCATTAAAGTAATTCAATAAAGATGTTACCGGGGCATGAGTGACAATGAGCAGGTCACTCAAAGTTGTGGAAAGGTTCTCCTAACCCTGACTGCCCCCCAGCTCTTCAAGCAGGAGTCATGAGTCCAGGAGGACCCACACACTGTGTACCAGTCTTGAGTTAGAAAAAGCAATCCCACCCAAGATTAAAGATAGTTAGGTTCTATACTGACCTGGCAATTAGAAGCAGCAGCCAAAAACAGGAACTCTTACCATATCCAGACCCATCAAATCCAAGACCAGGAACCTCCTACTGTCCTCACCAATCATTCTTGGGAAGAGAACCAAGGCACCTCAAGGCACCCTAAACCAGGTATCTCGAGCTTCCCTAGTCTTATGACTATCAGGGTACACAGCAAGCACCTTCCCACTTTTGTACAACACACATACACACATACACATTCACAGATACCCTTCCCCTGCTGCTCCCTCCAGCAAGCAGAGGGATCCTTTCAAATTCATCCTTGACCAATTCCTCCTTAGGGTGTCACCCAGAGGAAGGAGAAAGAGGGAGGAATCTATCATCATTCTTAGTTGGAAATCCACAGTCCAACTCTCAGATAATTGTTAGATGGAAACTGCAGCATTTTTCATCTTTGGGGCTATAGGAGTAAAGACAAAAAAGCCTTCAGGAAAGAGGGAGTGCTACTTTACTGTAAAACACCCCCCCCCACTTGCCCATCCATTGTTCACACCACGCCGGAGTTCACAGATGCAATCAATATGGCAAATTCAGACAAAGAAGAAAAACAGCCTATCCTCTATGTGGCCCATCTTTTAGCCTGCTTTTCAGCCCATTCTTCCAGGAAACAGCCTGAAAAATCCTATAGAGCACCGTGAGCAGGTCTTCCAAGCAGCAGATCTGGGGTGAAATTCAGCTGGTTCTATCCGGCTTGGGCGAACTGGTAGCAGCAGCTGCAGGAGGCTCCGCTCACCTGTGCAGACGTCATGACATCACTTTTTTGCAACAATTTTAAGCCTCTGCGCATGCGCAAATGACACACGTGAGCAATGCGAGCATGCACACGGCGCACATACATTTGCGAACCGGTAGGGAAGGTAAGTCAATTTCACCCCTGAGCAGATCCCTCAAGATTGGCCTAACTGGTTTAAAAAAGCCACTTCCATTAAAAAAAAAAGACAAATCCACAGATGCAGAAAACACAGTCAATTTGGTAGATGTGGCCAATGCCACAAGACAGCAAGCGCAACCACTTCCAGTTCACTCCCTGAGCCCGAATAAATCCAAATTATTCTGACAAATCCAAAAGCCTAGCTGTCATTTTATTTATTTATTTATATTTGAATTTATATACCGCCCTTCTCCCCTTAGGGACTCAGGGCAGTGAACAGCCAAAATTAAAGTACATACAATATAAAAGTTAAGATAGCTAAAATAAATTAAATCAATCGGCCCCCAATTTAAAACCCCAAAGCTATACAATTAAAACTAACCCATAAAAAACCTAATTAGGCTAGGCCGGCTTGCTGAAATAAAAATGTCTTCAGGGCCTTACGGAAAGTGCGGAAATCCAGGATCAGTTGTATTCCAGGAGGAAGCTCATTCCAGAGGGCAGGTGCCCCCCACAGAGAAGGCTCTCCCCCTGGGGGCCGCCAGCCGACATTGCTTGACCAACGGCATCCTGAGGAGGCCCTCTCTGTGAGAGCGTATTGGCCGGTGGGAGGTTATCGGTAGCAGAAGGCGGTCTCGTAAATACCCTGGCCCTAAGCCATGGAGCGCTTTAAAGGTGAGAACCAACACCTTGAAGCGCACCCGGAAGACCATTTAGGTAGACACCCCCCAAAACATCCCTCCAATACAGCCAATAGTACCTCCATGGCTCCCATTTCTTTTGACCTTAGTTTCCTGATTCCTGGTGATCTCCTATTTAGTATATCATGATAACCCCGAAACAATGAAAAAGGTGTCATGACATCATGACACAAGCTATGCTTTTTCAAATTTGCAATGTGATAGCATGTGCAAGTGCATAAGGCATGAAGCTTGCATTCACTATCTCTCCGCCATGGATGCCTATGAGTGAGACCTCCATCTTTTATTGTCATGAGGATTGGATGGTGAAAGTTCACAGAGTAGTTTGTCATAAGCATATACATCAAATTAGGGAGGTCCAAACTCAATAAATCTTCATTTACTCAAATTTCACTGGGAAAAAAATGATAAATTGAAGGGACAGAAAGCCATTGTTTGAGGGGGACTGGGTGTTGATTGAGAAAAAGATTACATTTTTTTGCTTGTTCCATGTGATAAATTGTCGAGTAGAGAGGATTATCTCTTTGGTAGTAGTGACTTAACTGTAACCTGTATTGGAGCATCTTCCTGAATGCCCTCCAGATACATGCAATGTCATCTTCCGTCATCCAACATTGTTGTCCAATACACAAGGTCCCCAGGTTGGGAAAGGGTTATGTTGGAGTTTCCTGTGTTTTGCTGTGAAGTTATTTGCTTACGTGATTCATTGCCTTTTCCTGGAGATGATATAACTTGTTACTTGGGAAATTAAAAAGGGTTGGGACAGAAATGAAAATAATAAGTATGATGAAAAGACAACTGAAAAGGAAATGCAGTACATACAATACCTGCATCACTGAAATCATTTCATTTAACTCTTGATTTGCCTTTCAGCCACTTTATTTCCCCATGTCAAAATGTCAATACTGAATTGCACCTATTACAAGTGATAAAAAATATTGGTGTGTGTGTGAAAGCTGGTGGATTAACGAGAATATGAATAGGATAAAGCTGTATTAAAAGATTAAAGGTAAAGGTAAAGGTTCCCCCACCCATGCGTGCTAGTTGTTTCTGGCTCTAAGGGGCAGTGCTCATCTCTGTTTCTAAGCCGAAGAGCTAGCGCTGTCCAAAGATGTGGTCCTGTGGCCGGCATGACTAAACGCCGAAAGAGCTGTTACCTTCCCACCAAAGGTGGTCCCTATTTTTATACTTGCATTTTTAACGTGCTGTCGAACTGCTAAGTTGGTAGAAGTAATGGGAGCTCACTCCATTACGTGGTGCTAGAGATTTGAATAGCCGAACTGCTGACCTTCTGATCGACAAGCTCAGCATCTTAGCCACTGAGCCACCGTATCCCTAGTAAAAGATTAGAGGAGCCTAAATTTATTAAAATCCACAGAGCAAACTATAGAAACTTAGTTCATAATTATAGTCCCTGTGGACTGCCATGGGCTTACAAGACAACAACATTCAGAATAAAATAAATTCTTCTTAGAGGGAGAGAGAGGCATTGTTCCAAGTATTGTGTATTTTAACATACTACAAGATTTTTTAATATTAGAGTAAGTGCTTCAAGTTCAAGTAAGAAAAGTAAAATTAATGAAGAAGAACTTTTCCCTTTTCTTTTAACTTGTAAAGTCTGCCGCGAAACCTTCTGTGGAACGCAAGAAGATATTCGTAATGTTGTCAAGTTTCAGTAGATCCACCAGAAATAGACATAATTGTTTCTTGGATACTTTTTTTCCATCTGTATAAAACCCATAATGTCCTAATAGAAATAATAGTAAGAAAAAAACAAGAGCTCTTATCTCATTAACAGAGTATCACATAATGCAAATAACAATTCAGAGAGAAGGTTGCATGATTGAAGGAATGATGGAATGAATGGATTGTGAGGAGGGGAGGGGGAAGGGAAAGGGGATACAGGCAGGCAGGAAGTTTTCCGATGCTCCCTACCAGTATTCCACAAGGATACTCAATGGGGAAGCCAGCAGGAAGTTGGAAATCATTCCAACTCCCACTGCTTTTTTGCTGGCCAATATCTCTGAAACAATGACCCAATGGGACACAGGTTGTCTAGCAAACATCTAACAATGCTTACTTATATATTGGAGCACTATAATTTGGAAGGAATTTTCAGAGACGAATGCCTGCTTGTTTTACATGTTGGATCAACATGCTGTTTTTTATAGCTAAATTAGACACTAGTTGTTCATATGCAATCTGTTACTGAATAGCTGGATCTGCCATAGTGTTCTATAAATGTCTCCAAAACATCTGGTTGACCATCACTGGAAGAAAAATGGATGGATTAA